TCAATAAGCTTAAAAATATCTCTTGTATAAATAGTGGGGCAAATCCACATCCAAAACCAATGTGGGACAAATGCTTCACTTTTCCCTTCTTTTTTTCCAACTTAAATGGGTCTACTTTGAGAATCAATATCCGTTTTGAGCGTACAATATATCAATCTCTTCGTCTCACAACGAAGAATCCGAATCCACTTTGACCCAACCCAAATCAGAAGAGGACCTCACATATAATTGTACCACAAGTTAGCCACTTAACATGTCATTTTAAGCTATTTTTTCGAACAATAATCTCTCTTGCAGTCTTGAATTTTTTTTTTTTGTTTTTCTTTTTTTACTACCTCTGTATTCTAGCTTGCTTTTTTGCCTTATGTATAGTTATTTTATTATTATTTTTTTTAAAAAATTCAAAAAAAAGGGGAAAAAATTTTCATAAAAGGAAGACTAAAAAAAAAATTGGAAAAATTCAGCAAAAAAAAAAAAGAAGAATTATTATTACTTTGGAAAATATTACTCATCGATGCTTATTTCTTTCTATACACTAAAGTATGGTATCCAATTGATGATTTTGTATTGTATGAGATCTTTTCTACAAAAGGATCTGTACAATATATTCATATTTTAAAGGATGAGGGTCACCCCTTCCAAGCTTTGGTATGGTTTGATTCCATTGTGGATTCAATCATAGCCAAACAAGCATTCCATGGCCAAAACATTTATGAAGGGTATTGCACTATGAATATAGAATTTCCAGATGCAAAATTAATAATGGCTACCTGTGGGGAAGTAAATCATCATCAAACTCCCACTCGTCAGGTGGAAATTGATGCGGAAGTAAAGATCAAACAAGAGTTTGGTGATAATGTGGTCAATATGAGTTCTAGTGCAATTGTTAGTAATGACTATACTAATCAAGCCAATGGGGAAGAAATTAAAATTTTTACTAATGAGGAGATTGATCATGCATCAAATACTATGAAGGATCGCATCACGGTCTGCATGGATTCAACTAAAGTTGAAGAACCAATTCAAGCTAAAGCAACAACTACAATCGGATATATCAAGTCTCCCTAATTGTTTCAAGAATCAATTTTCACATCAATAGTGTCTATGGAGGAAAGTCTCATCCACTTTGCACTAGAAATGGTTCCCAAATTGGTCCAAATCATCGTGACACCAAGAAGGAATTCTGTTACAGGGCAATCCAGTGAACATGTTGTCTATGATATCCATGTTTGGCAAATCAATCAAGCAGTATCATCAAAGGCATGTATATGCTCATTTCCATATCTACACCTTGAACACAATGTGTTTTTTGAAGGGGTGGAGAGTGATACGCATCAAAGGAAAGAAATAATTGGTGGTTTAATTAGTGAAGTGTCTAAAAGGAATGAATCATATGTAATTAGAGGATAATTGACTAAATATTAGAACAAGAAAATTATGTATATATTAGAAAATATCATTACCTTGTATAGTTAGAATAATTTTAGTAACCTAATTATTATAGGTGGTAGTAATTTAGTATAAATATGTCCATTGTATACGAATACCGGGAACCACTCAGAGAAATATATTGTTATTCTAGTCTTTTAGTTATTTTTCTTGGAACCCTCACACGCTTGAAGTGTGAAATTGGAGTTTGCCGTGACTCAAATACGACTAGGAGCCAAAAGCCTGCTCGAAAGGTTTTTTATCTGTTACGATCCTACCTAGGGTCGTAACACATTATTTGTTATTGCGATTGTACTCATAACTTCAAAATTCAAAATTCTATATTTATCTATAAACTAAAATAATTATAAATTTAAATATAATTTTTTCTTTTGTTTATCGTGTATGTAGCTCAAAGATAAAGAAACAAGTAATTATCCAAGCAAAAGAGAGAGGGAAAAGAAATGTTGATATGAAGTTGTCGAGACTCGACAAGAGGAAAGGAAGATGTCAAATAATAAGTTGAGGTGTTGTAATGAAAGTGCATATCTATATATAATATGTATATATACACATATGTATGACAATATAAGTGGTGTGGAGGCATTATATGAGCTAGCTGTCGCGAATGCCTCCAAACGCTTCTCACGGGGGTTCTCTATATCTCTACGCACAAACCTTCCCCCACCACCACTCCTTATCCCAAGGCAGGGGAGAATTATTCTCTGTGTTTTCTTTACAAAATAATTTTTAAAAAAAAAAATTTGAAAAGAAACAATAGGGTTTTTGTCATTATATTTATATATATGAAATAGTAGTTTCATGGATCAGTCAATTACTGATGTGAGTATTATTAATTAATAGAAATTTAATGCTTTACAATTACAAATTATAGTTTTATCTCTATATTGACTAAATAACGAGTTAGCTAAACATATGCAATAGAAATGTGATGAACTTTAACTGTCTTTGTTGCTGAAGAACCAAAATTGTGACATTGTGAGAAATTAGAGGATCTCAATTATTTTCCAAATATAATATGTATAAATATCTCAATTAATTAATGATTTCAATATTTCTAATATAAGTTAATTCCTATTAACTTTGATCTCCTTTTTTTTTTTTTTTTTTTTTTTTTTTTTTTTTTTTGCGTAATCCTGGTTTTCCACCATCGGGCTCCATACTTAAAGACAATGATTGATCCCTTGACGTTTGGTTAAGGATTAATAAATAATTTCCGTACTAAAAAGAAAAAACAATCCAATATCATTTCTACTCAATCACACTCACAAGTTCAATAACTTTGATCTAAAAAAAATAAAAAATGTAATACTTTTATTCTTACAAGTGACAAAAATTGAGACATTTTAAATAATCGAGGACTAAATCTAATCAATCTTAAACTCAATAATATTCAAATGAAAACAACCAAATACAATCATCAATGGACAAAAACTAAATTATTAAGTCTCTATGTATAATACAATCATTGAATATGTTATTACACAAAATTCGTAACTAAATATAACACTCTAAACAATAAAAAATAACATATACAATTTGGAATATAATTACAGCAGAATCTCACTAAAATTACTCATTATACAATTTGGAATATAATTAAGGATAATGTTGCTCTCTCAAAATGTTCATCGTAATTCAAGTGGGTCAAAATTATTGCGACTCGAACTAAATGTAAATTAATCCTTTAGTAGTCAAGATACAAGATGTTGTTGCAAGTTATCTCGTAAATCAAAGATACAGGATGTTGTATGCAAAAAAAAATAAAAATTAAAAAATTAAAAAGTTCATTATAACCCAATGAGGTGATTGATCAAACTAAGTAAAACATTATTTTCGTATCTAAACAATCATGAGTTTAATTTTTACCAAGAATTTTTCAATCCAGCCAGTCGCATTGACATACCTTCATTTGCTTGACTTACATTTCTCCACTGTCATGTACGAACAATAATATTTAGAATTAATTTCATTTTTGGTTCCAGATTTATAGGAGATAATGTATTTCAAGTCCTTTTTATTAGAATATTCACTTTTGATCATCGTATTATTGTGGCATGTTTTTTTTTTTTTTATCTTTTATCAACAAAACTGTTTAGATATCGTTAAATACAATGATATTTTGGTCTTCCATTATGGATATTTTCAAAAAAAAAATTAAACATAAAAAATGTAGCGGTTAAACCTACTTTGTATAAAAAAAGATTGAAATATCTTTGTATTTAATGATATTTTAACGATTTTGTTGATGAAGGACTAAAAATGGTGATGACACAATAATACTAGAAACAAATATAGATATTCTACTAAAAAGAATTAAAAATGAATTGTCACATATAAATTTAGGACAAAAAATTGAATTAACTCATAATATTTGCATCATTTCATGGTTCGCGTAATTTTCAATTTTTTTAATTTGCGAGCATATGATGCATCCAACGTTGTAGTTTTCGTTCTAAATTACCATATTAACCTAAGTTGAAAAATCCCTATCTAGTGTTTCTATAATTTTTTTTTTCTCATCTGACAATTTAATATCATTATTGGAATTAGTATAAATTTCTGTTTATAGAATTAGCGCGTTTATCCTAACCTCCAAGCCTAAATGGTCTACTGTTTTAACATTATTCATCAGTTAATCGGCTGTATATCTTAGTTTATAGTTGTCTTAATCATGTATTGAGTAATAAATAAATAAATAAATATATAACAAGTAGTTGAATAAAGAGTGGAGATGAGCTAATGACTTAATTAATCCTATTGGGAATAATGTGATGAGGACAGCTTTTCACCATTACATTTGCCTCTTTACAATTAATTGTTCATGTCAGCATCCATCTTGTTACCATTACCATTAGCAGCCTAAAGAATAAGCTGACGTAGTTACGGCTGAAGTGGATAATTTTAGTTACTGGGAATTTGGTAAATAGCTGTTAGTTAGCCGTTAGCCGTTAACTGTTAGCTGATTGGATTAGTGCATTTGATTAGTGGATAACATTAATTTATTGTAAAAAGATGTTTGGTAAATTAGCATAGTTGATTACATGCAAAATGAGTTTCTCAAAAAATCTTATCGAAAAAGTTACTTTGAACATTTTTTTTTGAATTTTAACTCAACTAAAAGTCTAAGCTGATAGTTGGATTGCACATTAATGGTTATATGCTCAACACGCCCCTTTATGTGTGTGGTGGGTTTCACAGCAACACATGGACCGTAGTCGCGACTCTGATACCTAATTGAAGCATGTGCTCCATCTCAACTAAAAGGCTAAGCTGATAGTTAATTGCACATTAATGGTTATATGCTCAACAAGTAATTAGGAAAAGCTAATTAATCAAACAGGAACAAATGATAGTGATGAGAAACAACTCAAAATTATTTTAAACAAAGTTAACGATGTTTGCCCCTATGTGTATTCAACACGTACTTGTTTGATTAATATTGTTGTTGTTTGATTGAGGGGCAGATCTGGCAATTCAAAAATGAGAATACAAAAATATAATTTTGTGCAATCAAAATCTCCTGTGAATCTTGTGGTACTCATGCAGAATACAAACAAAGAGATCATATGGGGTTTGAATTGAATACTCCTTTTCCCTTTATAAACCCATCCACCACAACGCAGCCGCTCCAGCAATACGAGTCTGAGAACTAAAAGAGGCTTCACAGAAAGATAGAGAAAAATCATTTTTCTGATCTGAGTGATATATATATAGCCCAGACATATATATATATATATATATATATATATATATATATATATATGGGATCCAAAGATGAAAAGAGAGCTGCCCTTAATCAACAGCTCCGGCAACTTCGCTCCGTCACTAATTCTACCGCTGTAAATTTTTCTCTATCATCTTCATTTATATATAATTCCCTTTAATTTCTTGCTAAGCTAGCTCTTTGTACTGTTTAATTCCTTGAAATTCCAATAGAATTATTTATCCATTTTTACCTGCTTCTTTTGGTTCTTTGCTCCCACGCAGTGGGGAATGGGGATGAGGGAGGGGGCTTTGGAGTTTGGAGGTGGAGTGACCCATATTGTATCAGTTGATGATTAAATTTTATCAACAGATTGAAATTATTTGTCATTTTGAAACACTACCCTTTGTTAGGATCAAGTGCTTACCATTTACATCAAAAGCTATAACTAGTAGTAAAGATGTAACTTTATTTTCTTATACCACCACATATTTTTGAGATACTGGGTGCTGGATTTGACCTTTAAACTCTTTACCGGCCTCATCCCAACACACTACAGGAAATTATAAAATTTCCTACCACCTGAAAATGATCTTAAACCAAATCAAAAGTCTTGTTCTGACCACTTTTGGTATCCGGAAAAACCTTTGTTGCTATTTCCGACCACTTTTTACTTTCGACTTGATTTGAGAACACTTTTCAGGTGGTCGAAAATTCCATAATTTCCATCAGTGACAATCTTCCTGTCACCGAGTGTTAGACTTGGCCTTTCACCAGCCTCCGCCCAACGCCCTTTGAGTGTAGGATTTGGATTCAAGTCCGAGTGAAATTTAATAAGTTTTTATTAGTCTGCCTAGCTAATTATGGAGTTGAGCAATTATAATTACATAACTCATAACAAAAATTAAAATTATTCAGATCAACCCACGAAAAGACTCAGGATAACTTAGAAAGACACAGGAGACGAACGGGAACACATCTATATTAATTACGGGATTGCTAAGTAGGACAAAATATGCATAATTAAATGAGTTTGTTTTTGTGTCAGGTGAATAAAGCATCGATCATTATGGATGCATCAAGGTACATAGAAGACTTGAAGGAAAGAGTAGACAAGTTAAATGAAGATGTTTCATCTTCCCAACCCCCCGAAGAAACCGCGTTGCCTGTTGTATGGTTTTTAACTTCGTTCATGAAATTAAATCATCAATTACAAAAGAAAAAAAAAATCTTATACTATCATTTCTGCATTATTATACTGAGTGAAATTTGTCATCCTTTTGTTAATTAGCTTAGTCTTAATTTCAATCTTGAAGAGTTCAAAATATAAACTTTTTAGTAGCATTTCAACCACAATCATTTTATGACCCATAAGACGTACTATTCTTAACTTTTTATAGTTACAATAATTGGGTTGACTATACCTTTAGATCATATTTTATTTCTCTATATTTGCACTTGTTGGATACTTGAGAGACTGAATTCAACTTGTGATTATAAAGTGTTTGACATTCCGCATCATCAATCCAAATTCTACACTTGATAGATCATACTCGTTTGATCAGCGAATCTGTTAGCTCACACTATAGCTCGAGCAGTAGATTCGCAGTCTGGTCCGGTTATTTGGTTTTCAGTTGTTCCTTCTTGTATTCAACATTTGATCTCGGTTAATTAATTCCAGTATTCGTGTTTTTGTTTCAAAAAATATATAACCCTTCCTGGGTATAACCATGATTATCTTTTCTTTGAAGCAGGTTACAGTAGAAACCCTAGAAAAGGGGTTCTTAATCTCTGTATTTGCAGAAAAGAATTGCCCGGGTTTGCTAGTCACCATTCTTGAAGCTTTTGAAGACCTGGGCATGGAGGTGCTGGACGCTAGGGTTTCTTGCTCCGACACTTTCCACCTACAAGCTGTTAGTGAAGTAAGAAATTAAATAATTATTTTCCATCTTTTGATGAATTTCATTTCCGATTTTACTTATTTTTGTTTTCATGTTTTTTTCGTCCTAAAAATTAGGAAATAGTTTATAACCACATATAGAATTTGAAGCACATACAAGTACAGTGAAACACGAAGTTATACAACTCATAAACATCAAATTTGTCTGATAGCAAACGCTATTCATCGTCCCAGCTAGCTAGCTGATGTTTTCTCCATGCACTTGTCTTAAACATCACGTGTGACTCAGTACAAAACACCATATATCCACCTCATAATTACGACCACAGATGTGTTTTTCATCTGTTTCTTTTTGACATACAGTGCTTTTGTGATTACATTGTAGTATCTGTTTAAATATACTTTCTCAACCTAATCAAGCACAAAGAGTCAACATTGGCCTCCAATGAAGCTCGGTCTCATGACCTTCCATATGGGAGAGGTCATTAGATGCCATCTGAGCACAATGTGCTTGACAAATTTGAGTTGTGTTTAATAGTAATTTTAGTGTAGTTTCTAAATATATAAATTTCGAATACTAATACTGAACATAATATTATCAAAATTGAATTAAAAACAACTTAAAGTCAAGTCTGGTTAATGAAACCAGACACATAAAATGAGATGAAGGGAGTACCAATAGTACTATTTTCTCAAATATATATAATGGTTATTTTGTTATAGACCATCATCACATTCTGATATTACCATTTGTAAGAATCAATCCCTTACCACTATGCCAAAAGGAATAGCTAGTAGTGTAGGTGTAACTTTATTTATTTTTAATAAACCACCATTCCATTTTAAAGAGCCTGCGGAGTACACTTAGCGCTTACCGACTCCTGCCCAACAATCTTCTAGTCACATGATGCTGGACTTGACCTTTACCTGCCTCCACCCAAGTATATATCAACTAACTTACACAATCATATGAGTTCCGCATGCCATTTAACTCGACTATTGATTCTATATTACAATGCAATTTCAAATTAAAGGTGATAAAAATTACATCACCGATACGTAATTTGGACTTGATGGATACTATAAATTAAAGATCAGGATTCAATACAAATGTGCTGAAATGCACACAGACATATATATTATATTCATGAAAGCAAATGTTTAATTATATGATTATATTATGATGAAGTGAAAAATAAGAGAAGCTTTTGGCTTGAATTGCAGAAAGAAGGAGACACTGATAACGTAGATGATCAAGTGGTTAAACAAGCAGTAGTGGAAGCTGTAAGAAACTGGAGTGCAAGAAGTGGGCAAGATTGATATATCCGTGGACGACCTTGCTTTTTATCGTTTTCTCTTTTTTACTACTTTAAACTTCCCCCACCAAGAAAATATTAAAAATTTTAAAATTTAACAGTATATATATATATATATATATATATATATATTGTAACCCAAAGGGGAAAAAATATTCTAAAATTCAATTCAGAAAAGTGTAACTCCTTTTGGATTGACTTTGGGTATACATACATATACATATATCATATGGACTTGGAGGCATTTACATTTTGCAGTTCAAAAAATGTAAATAACCATTCTACATGGGATACCAAGCTAAAGAGTAAAAAGTAAATGTTTAAAAACTATCAGTTTGAAGTTCGAAAGTTATTAACACTACTACAAATAATACTTTTAAGAATATTCATCCACATCTTTTAGTTTGATCTAGGAGGCTATCAAAGATTGGAGAAGATGATGATGGAAGAGAAGATTAAAGAACAACAAGAACTTGCTGATTGAGATCCGTGGTATACATTGACTCAACATCATATAATAAATTATAATAAATAAGAAAACCTACGTCTTATAATAAATAAAAAAAAAACATAAACGACCTCAATTTGTCGTTTATTTTTTAAAAAAATTAAAAATAATATACAACGTCGGTTTTTTGGTTTTTTTAATAAAAAACCGACATCGTATGTTATTTTAATTTAAAAAAATATATGACATTGTATATAAATATATTTTAAGGGAGAAGTGTCAAATATGCCCATCTACTATTTCAAAGTGTTCAATTTACCCCTTCATCTAAAATAAAGTCTAGTTAGACACAATAACTTCCTAAAATTGTTCAATTAAGCTTTTTCGCAGGTTACCACCCGGTTGCCAGTGAAACTGGTTGACATGGAAAATAAATATAATGACATGGAAATAAACTGAACATTTGGCCAATGAACTTGGTCCACCTGCTATTCCAAAAGACGAGCAAGTCTCTGATCATCATCGAAGATCTAGACTGTTATTTGGCCGGAAAATCAACGGACCCGATCTTGCCGGAGATTCTCAACTTCATGGCGTCATCCTCACCTGCGCGGAAGATGGAGGAAACAACATAAAAAACGTCCTGAGGGAGGGGGAGGTTGCGAGAGAGGAAATTGAGGGTGCAAATCAAGGTCTTGGTGTGTCCTGGTCGGCGATGACAGGGGAAGCGAGAGAAGCAAGGAAACAACATAAGAATATCTGTTTGCTTTGTTTTTAGTACAAAAAAAAGAAGATTATATCTTCCTCATCACGTTTAAACACAGTCTGCCATCTTCAATCAGCCCTCAGCCTAAAAATGGCTTCACGCCTCAACTAAAGTAGTTCACAATTTCTTCCCCAGATTTCGCGTTTATGAGGACGCCGGCATCGAGAGGTTTCACAACTATGTTTCTGAACCTCCGACCGACAACCCAGAAACCGGCGTTCAATCCAAAGATGTCGTCATTGTACCAGAAAGCAACGCCTGGGTCCGAATATACCTTCCAATGTCATCGACGGCGCCCAGAAATTCCCAGTTCTAGTCTACATCCACGACGGTGCCTTCACCCTTGAATCCGCCTCCTCCGCTTCCTACAACAGGTTTCTCCACTCTGTGACGACCAAAGCCAACGTCGTAACCGTTTAAGTCGAGTACAGGCTGGCCCCAGAGAACAAACTCTCGGCGTGTGAGGAGAGGTACCGTCTATGGAGTCTTCACCTCCTCCGCCGACGTCGGTGGCTGAAACGCCGTCCTCATCTTCTACCTCCACCATCTGGAAATAATTGCCCGCCTTCCCGTTTCCCGTTCACCGGAGAACAAACTCTCGGTGTGCAAAGCTCCGTTCCCAGTGACGGTAAAAATGTTACCGGTAGTAATAATATTAGAGTAACGCAATGTAAAAGAGTGACAATAGTTGTATTGCCAAGTGTTTTAGTACAAAATAGTCAACGTGTCCTCCTAAGCTGAGGGAAGTATCTACTTATACCAGGTGCTAACGGTAACAACATGGGACATAAATGGGGAGCTAATTAAGCATTTAAGTCTCTCTCGTCAATGGTGGCATCAATGGTGGCTTCAATGGCAATAAAGGTGACACCTGTTGGAATTCTGTCCGTTGGAGTTCTGCCCGTTGGGTTTCCATGTGGTGCCGGGTCAGATGCCCACTTATGATCCGGGTCGGGTGCCAGCCCTATTATCCTGTCACCAGTCCCCATACTCCTGAGTCTACGAATGTTTTTGAGTTGACTAGGGAGTAAGACTGAATTTGCTTGATATCATGCAGAATCCCGGTTGATCCTGGATATGTGATTTTATTTTACAAATCACATATGATTATATATATATATATATATATATATATATATATATATATATATATATATATATATATATATATATATATATATACATATATATATATACATATATATATATATATATATATATATATATATATATATATATATATATATATATATATATATATATATTGTATGCTGGCCAAGACGTTCACCTCGGTCAATCTGTGGCCAAGGCGTGCACCTCGACCGATCGTGGCCGAGGCGTGCACCTCCGCAGATCGTGGCCGAGGCGTCGCCTCGACCGATAGTGGCCGAGGCGTCGCCTCGACCGCTCGTGGCCGAGGCGTCGCCTCGACCGATCGTGGCCGAGGCATTGCCTTTGTCGATCGTGGTCGAGGCGTCGCCTCGATCGATCGTGGCCGAGGCGTGCGCTTCAGCCGATCATGGTCGAGGCATCACCTCGGCCGATCATGGCTGAGGCGGGCTCCGGCCTATTGTTTTTTTTTTTTTTTTTTTTTAAGGCCGAGACGTGCGCCTCGGTCGAACTGTGGCCGAGACGTGCGCCTCGGCCAATCTGTGGCCAAGGCGTGTGCCTCGACCGATCGTGGTCGAGGCGTCGCCTCGAATGATCGTGGCCTAGGCGTGCACCTCGACCGATCGTGGTCGAGGAGTGCACCTCGGTCGATCGTGGCCGTGGCATCGCCTCGACCGATCGTGGCCGAGGCATCGCCTCGACCAATCGTGGCCGCGGCATGCGCCTCGGCCGATCATGGCCAAGGCTGGCTCCGGCCTTTTTTTTTTTTTTTTTTGAAGGCCGAGACGTGCGCCTCGGGCGAACTATGGCCGAGACGTGCGCCTCGGCCAATCTGTGGCCGATGCGTACACCTTGGCCGCGGCGTGCGTCGGCCAATCTGTGGCCGAGGCGTGTGCCTCGGCCTAGCCCGCTTTTCCTCTTTTTTTTTTTTCGAAGGAGTTCCATGGATGCGGAAAACGAACTTGCTTCAATAAAGAACATGGGCGGACCATATTTCTGAAGACGCTTCGTAAATGATGATTATGCTTCAGTAAACAACACGGGCAGACCATGAATACAAGATATTATTCCAAAAAATTTCATAATATAATGCGGGCGAACCGCGATTACCAAGCACTAGTCTCAAATGACTACCAGAATATTAAGGAAATTACTTAATCAAATGTTCCGAGTTCCATACCCGATCGATCATCCTTGCAGATGGTTTGGACTTGTAGATCCTTTCTGCCAATCTTTTTGCATGCTTTTACGTAACAACTACGGTCTGCTCGCTGGTCTCCTCTGACGACTCCTATCCCATTCGGACTAGGGAACTTCATACACAAGTGTTCCACCAACACTATGGCCTTGAGGTCCTCCAGTGCCGGCCTCCCCAAAATGATGTTGTGCGCACAAGTGAGTCTTACCACGATAAATTCCACGTCAAGTTTGCGAATGTTAGGGCTCGTGCCTATCTCCACTGGTAAGACCACTGACCTCTCCGTCTCCTCTGAATCACCCGTAAATCCAGAGAGTGGGGTACGTACTTCTTTGAGCTGGTTCCTAGGTATACCTAACTTGGTGAAGGCATCGTAATACATCACATTGACTGAGCTTCCCGTGTCGACTAAGATGCGGCGGACAATGACATCGTTGACGTCCATCTCAATAACCAGGGCGTCACGATGGGGTAACGGTCTCTCTGGGAGGTCATAATCAGAGAAGGTGATGGCCTCCTGTCTCTGTTTCTTTTCTCTGGGAAGACTCACCACTTCTCCCACGTATAGCTACCGACTCAACTTCTTTCTTTCCGCGGGCGTGTCGCCCCCTGCGGGTGCACCATAGATAAAGTGTATGGTGTGCTTCTTTTGTCGTCTGGGCGCTTCCTCGGTTTCTTTCTCGCTATCATTCTGCTCAAATATTTGGTCGTGTTCTCTTTTTTTGGCGTTCGAGGTGGACGGCTCGGTGCCATCCTCATTCCTCCAGACATTTTTTGGTGAATTGTGTTGCGGCTGTTGTTGCTGCTTTGATCGCTTGACAAAATGTCGGAAGTAGCCCTGCTGGATGAGTTCTTCTATTTGTCTCTTCAAAACGTGACACTCATCCGTATCGTGGCCGGTTTGCCTATGAAACCTGTAGTACTTTGTTTGGTCTGCCTTTGGGGAGACCTTCATGCACTCCTCGGGGAATTCTACCATTCTCATCTCCTCAGCTTGGTTTAGAATGACACTGACGGGATGGGTAAGAGGAGTTAAATTACGCAAGGGGACCAGGTGAGGTTGTTCGTGGTCTCGATCTTTCCCTGCGGTCGGGTGGTTCGAGAGTGGTGCCTGGCTGGGCGGACCAGCTTTCCCAGTCTTCCCACCTTTCCTACCATCCTCTTCGTCCTTCTTCTTCCTGTCGACGTCCTCTGCTTCGACATAGCGGCTAGCCCTCCTCATCCGATCTTCGTAAGAGCGGGGGTGGTGGGCGTTCAGCTGGTTGTGGAAATACCCCGATCTTAAGGCATGGATAAATATCGGGATCGCCGCCATGGAGTCGAAGTCGTAGACATTATTGACTTCCTTTTTCCATTTGATCAGGAAATCTTTGAGGCTCTCGCCTCTATCTTGCTTCACTACACAGAGGTGAGAGAAGGGTTTTTTACGTTGTATGCTACCCGAGAAGTATGTTAGGAAGTGGTGAGCTGTTGTAGGCTTCCAAATTAAAACCTTACAAACGTAGTAGCGGGAGTAAGGATCGATCCCACGAGCAGTAACTAGTTTAACTTTTGTGCTCAAATTAAAGGTAGAGGGGGTTTGGAATATATCGAGAATAAAGATAAAATAAAAGAGAATTTAAATAAACAAGAAATTTAATTGAACGAATAAAGCAATGAAAATAATATATCGAAAACACTTATAATAGGAGACCTTGGTTAGTAAAGATCCACCACCGGAAT